TGCTAAAAAAACACAACCGATTATGGTGTCACGCCATCAGCCAAATGGTTAAATTTCCATCTTACTCAACACCAATAGGGTTCAAAAACTTATACTGATCAGTGATCACATTAAATATGCAATGTCCATTAATCTATTTTTAGTTTTATAAAGTATTTCAATTATTAACTAAAATTATAATACAGTATAACAATTTTTTGTTATTAGTTATTAGTGTTATAACTAATTAAATAAAAAGAAGAAAATATAGACAGCTTAAGACAGCAGATAACAAAGTAACACTAAGTTAAAATATATAACAAGCAAAATAAAGCTACTAAAATATTAATTAATATACAGAGCTTCATAAATAATGTAATTAATTATAAACATAGATTTTTATACTAAAATCTATGTATAATATTAAAATTAATGAAACTATTTTTATTTGATTTTTTTTCGTTAAATTGGGTCCCTAAAGAAGATTGATGTGAATTTGGATTAATTAACTATAGTTGTTGGATTTTATTTTACCAACTATATTATTAGTATATGTTACGATATAAGTGGTTTATATAACTGGAATATCTTTAATATAGAAAGTTAGCAATGTCACTTACCTGTAAAGAGATCTGGTAAGTTAAAAACGTTAGAGAATTCGGATCTAACTTCGAATGAGCAAATTTTCAGATAGAATAAAATAAATAGAAAAAATAAAATAAGTTTGAAAAAGTATTTTAGATTTTAAAAGTAATCCATCGTGTTAGACTGCGTCAAACTTTTAACCTATATGTATTCAAAAACTTAAATGATACCTATGCAATAGTTTAATTTCTAAAAAAATATCTGAGAAAAATATCAATTCAAATAGATTTAAAACATTAAATAATTCAGTTCGATATAGTTTTTTTTTTAAGCTTAATATAAATTCTAGTTGATTAATTCGTTTTTAAAACTCATTTGTTATAAAAATTACTCTTCGAACTTTTAAAATTCATCAAAATTATATATTTACTTGGTAAAACGATGAAAATAATTCAACTTTTATACAATTTACACATATTATTATAAACACGAGTCTATAATATTACGTAAAAGTTTAATACAACTATTAAAGTACTCTACTACTCGTGTTTCTAATGTTTCTATAGAGTTCTGTTAATATACAGAAATACCATAAATAAAACTTGTTTCAGACATTTTCAATTTTTTGTGGTCTATTATTGTTTCTTTATTTTTTAAAAGCTAACTATACCTCATAATAATAACAGTATATAATTTATTTCTTAAAAATTATAATTTTTTATAAAGAACTAAAAAGAAATTTAAAACAACAATGTTTTCCTAATATATTTATATATTTCTTTAGTTCATAAAATAAAATTAAAATATTTATCTAGCTAAAAAAAAAATTGTTATTGATAAAATTATAATCTAAATTAGAAATTAGAATATATAGATACCTCTAAATTGTATGAATAAAAAATATACCTTAACTTCGGTATATTATTTGTTCATCCTGTTAGTAATTATTATTTATAATAACCTTGTTATAACCTCGTGAAGAAAATCTAACGATTCCAGATTATTTTCTTATATGGTAATTTATTAGCAAGTATTTATCTTATATTTTATATAAAAATGTACAGCAATACATATTTATATTTTGAGAATTCTAATAGCTGTATAATAAATAAAAACTGTAAGTATTTTGGACACTTAATGAAACCAAATTATTACGATAAATAGGTATTTAATGATTAAAAAATTTTCATTTATACAAGTTATTTACAAGTTAATATAAGTAAAATTTATAATATATAGGTATTTAATACATAGAACATAGATATTAATCAAGTATTCGATTTTTTTTTTCTGTGAATAGCTTAGTTTTTATATTTATAAGCATTTAAAAATATAATTTAAATAAGAATTATCTATTTGTTATCTCGTGCAAATTCATTTTAGATAGAATAATAAACATATATATCATTGGATAAAATAAAATCACCTACTGCAGAAGTACCGTCAAGCAACAAGAAGATCTAAGCACAAGAAGACTTTATCCATAGTATATGATAATTGTGAGAGCAAAGCATAAAAATAATAAGTGATAGAAAGTAATAAAAAAATCGAAAATTGACCTTTTGAAGTACTTTGTAGTCTCAATTTTCAATCAATAATAGAGTTGTATAAAACTTTTGAAACTTTTTTCCTGTCCAAAAAAGTGTACACAAAAATAGAATTGTTTCAAAACTAATACATTCCTTGCTTTGATCATAATCTAAAATGGTTTATTATGATAAAAAAGTTTGCTGAAAAAATGTCATATTTACTATTAAATTATTATTTACTATTAGTTCATTAATATGGTATCTATTGGAAAATTTATTTATCAAACAATACTCATTATTTCAAAATAAAAATTTTTTTTTTTTTGACTGGAAAATAAACAAAAAATGTGTCAAAAACCTATCAATTGTTTAGACCTAATTTTTGTTATTAATTATAAAACTCATCAATTGTATTGTATATTTTTACTTCAATGGTTACCTAGGTACAATTTACTCATACATATAAATACTAGACGTACACGTATATGCGTTATCCAATCCACTGATGCGGCCATGCCCATGCAGGACAACCTAAGTCATATTTTCCTACAAACATCATCAAATCAAATTGTATCCACGGATGATAGTTAACTATAAACTAAAAAATGATAGATGTCTACCTAGATACTATTTTAATTGTTTTCTCTTAATCAAGAGTATAGTGCAGATAAAATAAGTTACACTTAAACCAAGAAGATCCAGTAGTTATAATTAATGAAATATAATATAATACAACAAATGTATATCAGTATGTCCATGATAATCGGATTGAAAGTAGGTATAATATTATAAACTTGATGTCTTGATGTATATTTCACATTATGTCTACGTGAATTTTCCTTTTTTTCAAACCAGTAGATGTATATAAACTCACATAAAATAAATGCGTCTAAATTATTTTATTTTTTTAATACATTTCAGTTATATTATTACGATTACACTATGTTGAATAATAGGTAGTCACTATCATCAATACATTTTACCCGTTTAAAAACTCAGAACCAATACAAAATATACGTAAAATATAGAAAACTTAGAAGTTATAACCCGCTACAGAAGCATTATATATATGAATGAACGATATGAAAATTATGATGATAAAATAATTAATAATATAAACAATAAATATGCGGGACGGCATACAAAGATGTGCCATCGTCAAAGTGACACTAACGACGTTTTATCGTTCATTTATACACTCAGAAAACAGGGTTTTCGCATCTTACGCCGCGCCGTGCTTTAAAACATATTCATTTCGATTTTGTACGGACGCTTGAGCAACGACGCATCGTTCGAAACAATTACTCAAATACACTCAATGCAAATTAAAGTCATTAAAACAGTTTTATTTTTGATACAATATTTCAATACGTTTACTTACTGGGGTTACGTTCGCAGCTGATATAAGGTGAAAGAAACTAATTTTATAAAGAAAAATTTCATTGGTAAAATAGATACCTACGGGTAGTACTAATAGTGACGTATATAAAGGTACACGAACATAGAAATATAAGTATGGTTTTCAGAAATAAAATTACAAATAATCTATTGCTAAAAGTTCTATAATCGAGGGGGTATAAAGTTTAAAGTGGTATGAAATACTCATTATTAAAAATATAAAAAAATTATACACCTTAAAGTATAGTTAAAATATTAAATACTCAAAAGATGATGTTAATACTAAACTTATTATCCAATGATTATTATTCAGTTGATTTTAAAGTCCTTTACTACCCTAAGTATTTTTGAGAAACCATAGTACACCAATATATTTACGTTCCATTTTTTCAACTATAATAATATATATGACAGAAAGAATCCAAATAAAATTGCACAATAATTAAAAATTAAATTGAATATCATTTACCTGTAGGTACTTTAGATAATTTTATTAAAATAAATACCTATCTATTTGACTAGTATATAATTTATTCATTTTCAATGGAGATACTTCAGGTATTAGATACTTTTAGTACGCAATTGCCAATTTGTACAATGTAAGCATACAGCGTACACACCTACGGCGTGCAAATAGTGGTTTGATATTATTTTTTTATTTTTTAAACCGTTTAAAAATATTATTATATAATATCATTGTTTTTTCAAGTAAAATATTATGTTAGTAAAACCATGAAAAACTAAATAATATGTCCTAAATATATATAGTTATTACAAATACTTAGATGCTCAATCTTTATAAATATTTAAAAGCTAGGCAAGTATAATCTTAGAACTTAGAACTTTTTAATCTCCTATAGCATAAGATTATTCCTCAAATGCATTTTAAACATTATTATTTTACAACGTTTTCAATAAAAAAAAAAATATATATATATATATATAAAATATTTTAGTGATAATTCAGGAATAACTATCTGCATAGTTATTATAATAATACACAATATAAAATGATATATAGTGCTCACATATAAGCTTTGAATTTAATAATAAATTACAAGTTGTTAAGAAAATATTACCAAATCATAATGTTTTTCCCCTTACTAAAAATATAGAAAAAAAAAATGTACAATTTGTAGACAAATATAATACAATAATAAATTGTGTTTAACTAAGTTTAACAGTATAAGGGAAAGAAGTGCCCATTGACACTACTTTTAACGTTATTATTTATGAATATAGCCTATGGGGTAAAATTTTGAAATTAGCGTAAAACTTTAAAGATGAAAGAAAATAAAAACATTAGTGTCAAAAAATGTATCCAAATAAAAAATCGATTAAACTGTAAAATTTAAAATTCTTATGATTTAATATTATATTAGACATACACATGCATAGAGTAGATTATAAATATGCATGTGGCTATCCAATATATGTGCATAATATTATATTATCTATTATTAACGTCTACATTTTGTATTACTACAAAATCAATTTGAAAAATCTTACCTGTCACTATGAAAATATTGAAACTCCTTTTCGAGTTTGTCCATGCCACCATCGTGAGAAAAATTATTGGAAGATGTACGCAGATAAAATAAATAAACTAAATTGCAGCTTTTGGAAAACTTCTATCCGTTGCACATGTTACGAAATGGATTATATTGTAAGTTTCATTTTGAAAGAGAAAATAACGTAATCCGTGACCTAGGCAAAAAAAGGAAAAACCCAAAAAATACACGTCCTTACCGGAAAGGAACACTGGCACGCGGCGCGTTCAGACGAAAACTGAGCGTGCTTAAATCTCTGGTAGCCCGCGCGCGCGGTATCTGCCGCCGATTTAGCACGCACGCGGTCGTGGTCAGGCGACTGATGATTGGTGAATGCAGTTGGTTACCTAAAGATAACAGACAACTACGCGACGTGTGATAATATTGTATTCGTTGTTGATGTGCTAGTCGAAGATAGTGTCAACATCATCATTAAATAATCTAAACATCTATAATATAATAATCAATAATATTATATTTTAATATCATATTTGTGTGTAACAAAATTAAGCATATAATATGACGCTCTGACTTAAAATTTTTCAATATTAACTATAATCGTTATTATACTTGGTGACATTCTGGGATTATTTTTTTGAAGCTGATAAAGACAGAAGGCGCTCACATTATGGACAGCCAATTGATAGATTTACTGTTTCCAGACGGAATGCCAGGTAATTAGGATAAGCGACTCCTATCTAATGGAACAACAAGCAGATAGGTATAAGTATTATGAGATATAAAGTTGTTTGTAATATTATTCTGCAGTTAAAATCTGAGAATACATACCTACCTACCTAATTGAAATTTGTTCCAAGTATTCGACCATGTTCCATATTCATAATGTATTAAGTCATTTTCTAGAAAATATTTTAATCAGTAAATTACAGTCTTTACCAGATATTTCAATTTTCTAATTAACTATCTTCATCTAATAATTCTAATATTATACTTATCGATATAGTGCACGGGCGGGTACAACTTCAGTTAATACTTAATATCTTAAAAGTGCTATAATTTTGTAAGTCTTTGTTCAAAACCTTGGCCTATTGACTCATTAGTTCCATTTTATATATTTTTTAGCGATTAATATACCAAACCAAAACGAAATTTAAAAGAAATGAATTCACATAAACACAAAGTTATAGCCCAACCTAATACTTATATCTTAACTACTTAACTTACTGTTTATGTAATTGATTATATTTTATATTTTATTTTTAATATTTAATTTAAATTTATATTTGTATTATTTCAGATGATGTGAAAACTGATCCAAACATCAAAAATTATTTAGATCACCTTGGAAAGTGTACTGCAGAAGAATTAAGTATATACTCCTAATATACGTTTTGTTATAATTTACAATTAAATTTTTAAATTTACAAATATTTTTTTTTTTTTTTTAGGTAAAGAACATAAGTCATTAGAAGATAAAAATGCCATCATTGTTAAAATGGTTAAAGATTTAGCATTAAATAACTACAAAACATTTGTTAAGACTTCACGTTGTTATGAGTCTGTGTATAATAAATTTGATGATACACAACGTAAAACTATCACATTAGATAATTATTTATTAAAACTTAAAACTGAATGTCAAGAAATGTTACATCAGTGGGCAGATGTTAAAGAAAAACGCCATCGTAATACTTTAGCTATGGTTTGGAACTCCCGTATCATGCATCATGCTCTTGAACTTCCACAGCTCATGTTATCCTGTATTCAAAATAAATTGTATGAAGATGCACTGAAACTAGCAAACCATGCTAAACATTTACCTAACAATATACCAGCTGTGAAGGTTAGTATTTAATGCCTTAATAAATAATGTAAAATTAAATTTTATTAAATGTTATATATTGTTAGTTATTAGATGATGAAGTAGAAAAGCATCGTTTAACTTTGATGTCAGCACTTTGTCAAGAATTGAGAACTGATTTGGAATTACCACTGTGTATGCGTATTGTACGACTATTAAGAACCTTAAACATATTAAGTGAAGAACAGTTGGCTGTTAAGTTTTTACAGACTAGAAATGCGTGGTTTAATTCTAAATTAGAAAATATTCCTGATGAAAGCAGTAAGTAAATTATTTTCTACTAACATATTATTGAAGAAAAATAATATTATTTTGTATTTATAGACAGCCAACACCTATTAGAAACTATTGAGGTATCGCGATCTTGTCTTTCTAATATAGCTACACAATATAACCTAATTTTTTGCTCTGAAGATAACTCTTCAGATGCTGGATCGTCAAAACTACAGTTCTATTATTCTTGGACAAACCAAAAGGTTTCAGTTAACATTATAAAAATATGTTTAATATATTATCTTATGATTTGTTTCATAAAAAAATTAAAATATATTTTTTAGGTATGTCAGTTTATTAATATACTTAAAAAAGACCTTCCAAACTGTCGACCATCATCATTAGAGACAATCTTCACACAATGTATGTACTTTGGGCAATCATTGGGACATATTGGAGCTGATTTCAGAGGTCTCATAGCACCTGTGTTTATCAATGTAACTGTAAAAAGATTTTCAGACTTATTAAAAATAACAGAAATGACTTGGCTAACAGATTTACAAACATTTTTAAAAACAAAAATTAAGAATGTTGGAATGAACCAAACTCACGATGAAGTAAGACATCTAAATACCTAATACTTTTCAATAAATATTTAAATATGTATTTTATTAGGTAGATGATATACCATCACCTGTATTTGAATATTATCCTTTGGCAAAATTTTGTAATGGTGTAATGAGTGCTCTCAATGACCTAGGAGAGTATGCACCATATGCAGCTGCCGATGAAATCACCAAATGTTTACATACTACATTACATAATGCATCTTGTGCATTATTTTCTATGTATTACCAAGACGATTTTAAAAACTACGATGAAGTAAAGATTATTAATTATATTATTATAATTTAGTATAAATTAAAATAAGAAAAAATTTCTTACATTTATTTGGTAATCAAATTTACTCTGTCCTTTTGCTATTACTGTAAATTAATAGATTAATTATTTTCAAGTTGTTTTAAGTAAACAATTTAAATAAAGTATTTCTGTAATGAAAAAAAATATTATTTAAAATGTTTTTGTAAAAATCAACATAATTTAATAAGTATTTATAATGATTTAAATTCTGTTATTTTTACACTAAGTTTTAAATTTTATTATAAATAATATATAGGTAAATTAAGTTATCACATTCAAATTATGCTCGCTATGTATTCCTAAAGCTATTTGTGATAATATAATAGGTGAATCTAAAAATAAAAATTTTAATTCTAAATTTATAATGAGAATTAAAATAATAAGTAATGTTACTTCAATAGAAGTTTTAATAGATTTATAATTTTTAGGGCGACAAAAAAAATATTTGGACGACTTTGTATTTGTTTTTCAACTGATGTTGTTCCATATGTACAGAGATGTTTACACAAAGTATATGAACCAGCTAGTATAGCTGCTTTCATTGGAGTCACTACAACATCACTCCAAAAAGAGGTATTTTTATTATATACTACAACTGTTTATGAAATAATTTAATTAAATATCTTGTTTAATTGAGAGTAATTTTAAATGAACTATATTGTCATACGTAATTAACCGTAAATTGTGGTCTATGTGCAATTACAGAATGCTTGTGGTATGTGCTCTGCTAAGTGATTTATACTTTCATTACTGTGACTTAATCGTAATAAAAATTAGAACTATTTCCCTGCATGCCATTATTTTTGAATGTATACTTAGTCATTGATTGACAATATTTAGGTTCACCTTCACACATGATTTTCTATTTTATTGACTTATTTAAAGTATTGCTGAAGAAAATGGAACGAATATTTTAATATTTATTTATTTTATTTTTATTTTCAATAATTTTAATACTATATTATTTATTTCTAAAAAAATGTATTTGTTATTAAAACCACTTTTACATTGTCCACTTATCAAAAGAATGTATTGTCTAAAATTTTAATATATTTATAGAGTGATAAGACACGATAGAGTGCATACAACAATATAACCATTTAGATATATAGTTAAATTATATCAATTGATGAAAATTTAGTTAATTTGTGATTATGATTTTTGTTTATGTATAAAATTAAAAATCAATTAAGTGATTTTCAAATAAGTATGTCTTAATAACAACTAAAGAGACATATATTTATTTATGTACTATAATTGTGTATTTCGCTTTCACAGATTATAAATTTATTTACAATCTAGTTTTGAAAAAAAAGTTTCTAAGAACCCCTGTGTATTTAATATTATTTATAGTACTTTGGACTGGAAAACTTGAATTTTATTTGTATGAATTTTGACACAGTTATCTTAAATGGGAGCAGCCTAGATTACCAAAATCTGTAGAATTTATTTGTAAAGAAGCGGGGAGTATTTCCTACTTAAGACAGTTTAATGATTAATTAAAGAATATAGTATTTTAAGTCGGTACCTTTCTTGCAGTTGTAAAGAAATGTATAGGCTCCAAGTTAATTTTTTATATAGATAACTCCTAGATATTTTATAGTAAAATACCAGAAAATATTATTGCCATTAAGTTCTAGAATGAGTGGAGTTTTTGTTCAATGAAGTGTAAATAATACTGCTATACGTTTTAAGGGGCTTAGAATAGTTTTATTTCTGAATTAGAATCGTTTATACAAACTAACAGTGATTAAAGAGGAAAGATTTTATAAGAATATAATTTATAAATTACAGATAGAGTATTTATTGTTTTTAACTTATCGAAAACATAATCAAACTTTGTGCGATATCTAAAAATGTTACACCTGTTTCAAATTTTTTTTTAAAACCATTGTTTACCATTGTAATCAGGTAGACAAAATTACCGATTGATTGAATGTTTTAGTTTAAAACTAAATTGCTGATGAAAATGGCGTTAGTTACATTTAGATGATTTATTAATCTAATATATATGATTTTTTTCAAATATTTTTGAACTTAAGATAGTAAACTTATATAATAATATAAAATCTAATAACTATCTAGTATGATAAAAAAAAAACTTAATGAAATATTTTCTTAGAATTTCCACATATCTGTTATCTCTATATTTTTAAATTTTAATTTAAGTATATTTTATTGAATTAAAAATTTAAATTTTAAATTGTCTACAAATATTAATTACTATTTACTGAAGTAAAAATAATTATTTAACTAGAAAAATATTGTATAACCATTTTTTTTTTTTTAAAAAATTAATTATTTGTGTACCTT